CCTCCACAGCCACCCCCAACTCACTAATCTTTCCAGAAAACTAACTTAGAAACCAGTTTAGCTGTACTATTTCTTATTCTTATTGGGAAAGGGAATAGAAAAAAAAAATATGAAAGTAATGTAAAAACATAGGAATGCAATAGAAGTATTTTCTTAAAATTAATTTTGTGCTTATTAGCTCATTATGTTCTTATTAACTCGTGATATTAATTCATTATATTCTTTGTCTTTTATAATCCAAATTTTTGTTTGTTTTTGTTTTCTTTTTTTTTTTTTTTAAATCTAGGCTTCCGGGCCTAGCCCGTGGCACACTCGGGAGAGTGCAGCGCTGGGAGCGCAGCAGCACTCCCACCGTGGGTTCGGATCCTATATAGGGATGACCAGTGGGCTCACAGCGCTCACTGGCTGAGCGCGGTGCGGCCGGTCTCAAAAAGGCCAAAAAAAAAAAAAAAAATCTAGGCTTCCCAGGGCATCTATCTGCCTGGGTAAAGATTGTAATATTGATGAAGAATAACACAGAGGAATTCAGCTTCCAACATCAATATAGGAATGTGAGCCAGGCTATTGTCTCAAGAGAGACTTTTAAGAATTCCTTTATTTCTCTTCACTGCCAAATCTACAACCTAATACTACCACCTAAGTTTAGTAATCACCAATTCTCACTAGGAATACAAGAACAAAAATACCTTGTCTTCCATTGGGGCAGATGAAAAGAGTCACCCAGATGCTAATTTGATGGTGCTTACTCATGGAGCTAATAATTTCTAAATAAATTTTCAACAAAGCCTTGGTGTTTTACTTTACTTTCACTCCCAGTTTACTAGGAATTGTTAAGACAGTTCACAATTTTCACCTTCTAATTTCTTGTCTCCTATTGTTTTCTCAAGTATAAACAACATATAACAAATTCATATATTTTAGTAATTCATATTTTATATGAATTCAATTTTAATAATAAATTTAAATTTTAAGTCTAAGTTTTTGTTGTTGTTGTTGTTTTTAAAAAAGATGACCAGTAAGGGGATCTTAACCCTTGACTTGGTGTTGTCAGCACCACGCTCAGTCAGTGAGTGAACCGGCCATCCCTATATAGGATCTGAACCCATGGCCTTGGTGTTATCAGCACCGCACTCTCCTGAGTGAGCCACGGACTGGCCCTTAGGTCTGAGTCTTAATAATAGTATATACCCATAACACCATCAGTCAAAATGAGATGTATAACTTACCATCTTATAACATGCCTCAAGACTGCAACAATCTAATCAATCCCTACTACCCGCCATAGGCAACTATTTTCTTCTACCCCCACACTGTAGTTTGGCCTATTCTTGGAGTGAATAGAAGTGTAATCAATCATACAGTATGTTTTCATTTGAACCTGGCTTCTTTTGCCCAGCCTGATGTTTGTGAGATTCATCTACCATGTTGTGTGTACCAGCAGTTCATTTTTATTGCAGAATAATATTTAAGTAAACTACAGTTTTTCCACTCACCTGTTCAGAGACACATGGATTGTTCATAGTTCTTGTTATGAACTAGGTAAATACCTAGGGGTAGAATATCTAGGGATAGATGTGTGCTTAAGTTTATAAGACACTGACGGTTTTTTAAAGGGCTGTATGATTTTACATTCCCACAAGCTCTGTATGAGAGTACTTCAAAAAGTTCATGTGAAAATGGAATTAAAATATAGTATGAATCCTTCCATGAACTTTTTGAAGACCCCATGTATGTGTCAATTACTCTGAACATGGTACTATTTTTGTCAGAGCCAGAATACATGATTCCAGTAAATCCAGGGATAGAACTGGCAAGATGTTTGCTTCTTATTCTTGTAACTTCTAGTGCTCAAAGGAATATGTCTTCACCAGGGTCACAGCAATAATTCTATAAATTGGAAACAGATTGTTATCTGGCCAATTCTATCTATTCATATCATTGAATAACCATGCAAACGAGGATTATAATGTCAGTGAGCGTAACAGGCTTTTACTCTTTAAGGGAAATTATACTTTGAAACACAATGTAAAACCTAAAGTAGCATTAAGTTTGGGTCCCCTAGGTAGCAGACTCTAAGAGTTCAGCATTGAGATATTTATTAAAGAGTGTCCTAGCAATCCACCTCTGAGGAAGGGTGGGGAAGGAAGCAGGCTTGAGCAGAAGAAAAAGTGGAGCTGTGATTCTGGTCAAAGATAGTCTCAGCCATTCCTGCAGGGAGTTCTCAAGCTGAAATGGCTCTTCAGAGTTGTCCCGAGCTGAGCAGAGACGGCCAAGCTTTATGTTCCAACAGTGAGCAGTCACTGGAGGAGGGCCACACTGGGCAGAGGTATGGCCTCAGTGGAGGTAGCTCTCTGCAGAGGAAGGCACTGACGACTGAAGGCCGTCTGCCTACTGCACTCCACGGACAGTAAGACTTTTACTTCCCACGTATAAGCTTATTCCTTGCTCATGCAAGATCTCCTGTGGGTCCAACAGCTCTCTAGGAGAACTCCCTTCCAAGTGAAGCCAGTGTACTTTCATCTTATGGTTCCACCATCTCAGCATTGGCTTAATCTCCTTTGCAGCCAGGCTTCTCACTCCCATCCTCCTCTGTGCCTGGATTCTCTGAGTTTAGTCTCTCAGCTTCAATTTTCCCCAGAATAAACTTTCGTCTTGTAGTGGATTGAATTATGTCCCCCTCAAACTCCCTGAAGCTTGAATTGTGTCCCCCAAGTTTTATGTATTTGAAACTTGGCCCCCACTGTGACTGTTAAGAGGGTAGGAAATCCTATTATGGTAATTGAAAGGTGGAGCCTGGAAGAGGTGCCTCAAACTCCCTGAAGCTTGAATTGTGTCCCCCAAGTTTTATGTATTTGAAACTTGGCCCCCACTGTGACTGTTAAGAGGGTAGGAAATCCTATTATGGTAATTGAAAGGTGGAGCCTGGAAGAGGTGATTAGATGGTAGGACCAGGCAGTAGTGAATGGATTAATAATGGTGGTCAGGGGTGTGGCTCTGAGAGCTTTCAAAAGGAGAGCAGTGAGGAACTATCTCTTTGCTCTGCCATTTTCACAATGTGACTCTGCCGTCACTGCTACCACCACCAAGCCCTTCACCAGCTGTGTTCCCTGGACTTTGGGCTTCCTAGCCTCTGAAGGTGTAAGCAATAAATTTTGTTTTGTTTATGAAATACTCAGTTCCGTGTATTTTGTTATAAGCAACAGAAAAGGACTAATACACATCTCCCATTACATTAAGAAAAACAAAGCTGCCAAGCTACATGGCACAGGAATGAAGACATAGGTTTCTGTTTCTCCTGATTCAGAACTTCAAACACTAATTTTTCTTTATTCCCTCCTTCAGTTTTACCAGGTGCTTCAAATTCCGGAAACTTACAAAAATCTATTGGGTGGAGACAGGTAAAGTGATTCAAAGGAGAGGGGTGGCTTGCGTCTCTAAAATATTTCTTTCTGTATCAAAACTTTCAATTTTCAAAATATATTCTGAATTTGTCCACCTTGGGCATTTTCAATATTAACAAGTAAGTCTAAGTAACCATCACTGTCAATCGTAGTATTTAGGTGGTCTAACTGCTTTTCCTGCACCCACATTCTATACAGAACAACTGATTATTTAAATATGTAAATCACACCATATCCACTGCTTTTGTAAGCTTCCAATGCCTTCTCATTTCATGTTGTAAAGAATTGAAATACTTAACATGAGACACCAGGCTTTACATTCTCTGGTCCCTGTCTCTCTCCTTCTTCTTCTCTATGCCCCCAGACACAAATGAGTTTCAATTCTTCGAAAAACAAAATCACCAAATTCCACATTAGGTCTATTGTACTGGTGTTCCCTGCAAGTGGAAAACTCAGCTCTGGACATTCTTTTCTTGTCAATTGGGTCACTAAAAGGTCTGCCGCCCTATGAAGCTTCCCTGACCAGGGACTTAGGCCAGCACCTGCCCAGTCTGCTCTATCCTCCAGTCCTGCATTAGCTTCTTCACAGCACATATTGTTGATTGCACTTGACTTGTTCATTTATTTGTGGACTTATTTATTAGGATGAATCAGTAAATTAACAATGTGAAATATATATACAGCCTTGAAAAGGCAGCAAGACTTGGAGGGAAGCTAGTCAGATGATGGTACTTTTTCCCGTGGTTGCTGATCACTCCCAGCAACTTGGGTCCTATTGCCCAGCCAAGTACCAAGCTGATCTACCAAGTCATCCTCAAAGTATGGCTGCAACTAAATATTCCCAGCCAGCCTGACAGCCAGAATCCAACATCCATCCCCCAGACTCATTCACCACAACCACACAATGTCACCAGACCATAAGAATAAAATTAAAGATGATTTGAACCATTTTTCAGACTGCATGATAAAATAGTCTCCATCCTCAATCTCAATTGTTTGAAACTACAATATTAGAAATGAAGTCAGATTTTAACATTATGGTTACTTTTAATATATTTGTGAACAAATACTGGTGACAACACATTTTAAATACAGGAATAACTTAGAAAAGTAATTAACTTCCTTCTGTGGCTCTACTAACTTAATTTGGTCAAAAGTGTCTCATTTTGCAAGCAATGGGTGGTGGGGAGGAGAAAAAAGGGAAGGAGACTGAAAGGGAACCAAAGGCCAGGATGCTTCATAAGTGCAGCAGTCTCTACAAGTTGGCCCAGAGGATGGAGCCTGCAGTAGCTCAGTTTCCAGCAACCTCAGCAGGACCTAGTTCTCAGAGACACAGTACTCTCCAGTGGACGAAACCTCAGCTGGAGACACAGTTCTTAACACTCGCAAAACACATTCTATGGTCTGGGAGGAAGGAAAAAGTATAGCGAACTTGATGATAATCACAGACTCAGCAGCGTCCAGGGTCATCACTGGAAGGGCGCTCTCATGCATGACCAGTGTCCTGCAAACTTGACCCAAGTTCTGAGATGTAAATGCGACCAGTCTCAGCAAACCTCCACACGGAAGAGCAGTGGGGTATAAAGGCGGCCCCTGGGCTTAGGGGACAGAGGCCCAGAAGCACCCAGAAGCCTTGGCAGGATGCTGGGGCCCAAGACCCAGAAGTTCAGACATGTCCGTCAAAGCTCCATCCACAGGCAGGGGCTGAGGATCAGGGCCTGGAGATGTGGGCGCTGTGCCCATGGAGAGATGTCTTTTGGCTGGAGCCTGGAAGGTCCGCTCCTCGGCGTCCAGTTCCTGAGCACGACGACGACGACCACGACCACGACCATGTCTGCCAGTTGACCGGCAGGGAATGTGGGCGGACGGATCCGGCTCTGGCTCCGGCTTCGCAGAGCAGCAGGGAACTGTGTCCCCCGGGAGCGCAGAAGCGCCGCAGGCCAATGGGCGCCGCAGCGCACGGCGCTCGAGGGCGCGGCGGCGCATCCCACCGCCAGGCCGATTGGAGTGCCAGGCCTGGCGGGAGGGGAGGTGCCTCAGGCCCGGAGCAGTTTTCCCAGGAGCTGAGTCCTCCCTCCAGGCGGTCAGCTCCGGGCTGGCCGGCGCCCCGGGCCCCGCGTGATCCACGACCGGCCGGTCCTGCCCGCGTTTCCACAGCTCGTAGCGCTCGGGTTGCAGGATGCGCACGAAGGCGTCCATGGAGAAGCTCACCCTGGCCTCCCCGCAGCTGCACTGAGACGCCACTTTGCCATAATCCACCCATCGCGGGGTGGCGAAGTTGATGGCTTCCGCGCAGTTGAAGCCGTGGTTGAAGCCAGCGTGGTAGCCATAGGGAAACGTCACCATGAACTCTCCAGCCTCCTGAGTCATGCGATTGCAGGGAATGCCGTTCTTCTTGAGGACAGTGGGCGAGATGAGAGCCACCTTGTGCCGCAGGAAGGCCTCACAGCCTCGGGAAGTCCTCAGGAAAAGCTCCCTGGCCAGGCGTTCCAGCCTCTGGCCGTGTTCTGGGGGCACCGCGTACCACGTTTTGGGCTCCCCAAAGTGCAGGTAGTTGATGCTGTAAAGGTCCATGTCCTCCGTGTGCCAAGCAAAGGTAGCCTTCCACATGCCAAAGTACAGGTAGGGTGTGTTGACGCCTTCAATGACAACTCCACATTCCTGCTCCAGCAGGTCCTGAATGGTTCCCAGGTGACCAAGGTTCCATTGTTTGGTGTTTTCATCAAATAAGGAGCCGCTGATGTCAGCACCATAAATTGGTGGGATGTAGAGGCGGTTCTTCAGTATTTTCGCTCCAAATCTTCAAAATTCAAGTGTGGTGGAGTCTGATATTTTTCACTGTTTGCCAAGTGGCGATAGTCCCCCACAGTCATGGCTTTCTTCTTTTTATGGTATTGAGTGAACACACCTGCCCGCCCAGAGACCACCTGCTGGAGAGGAGTGGCTATTAAGATGTCATTGATACCATCATAGTTCTGTCTGGCTTTCCATTCCTTGGGTGGAATTACCTTGGCTAGGCCAGCTCGGTGTGCACCCTGGGATTCCATGTAAGCAATATATTTATCAAAATTATTAAGTTCTTCTTTGGTTGGACGAAATATCATTATGCTACAATTTGAATTTTGAGACTTCATAGTTTCAATTTAATAAGCAGCCAACTCCCAGTGTTTAGGTATACTCTAGCTAGCTGATGATGCAGGGAAATGCTACTTTTAAAAAATTGGGTTGGTATATCTATGAGGCAGCAGGATCCACAGCCAACTTTTCAGCAATTGAGAGGATAATATTTCCTACGCTTGTTGCTTCACCAGTAGGACTCCACCGTGGGCATCAGCCTTGGCCAGGCACTGATGGTGGCTGAATCTGCGATTCTGTTATGTTCCTCAGTTGGTGGCTGGTTCTGCCTTCTTGAGGTCATTTGAATTACCTGGGCCTCAGCAGGTGACCCAAATGTAGCAGTGTGTCTTCAGGGCAGTGTTTAAAACAAAATCTAAAAGAAAGAATACAGAAAAAATGGAAATTAATGTTTGGAAAAAGTTATTAGGGAACTACAAATTAAATACTGCAATGGGACACTACTATTACAAAAAGAGGCTAAAATTTTATAAGATTGACAATACAAGTGACGGTGTGGATGTGAAACAATGGGAATTCTCATTCCTTATGAGAGAAAATAGGAAGTATTACAGTCACTTTGGAAAACCATTTGGACAGTATTTTTAAAGTTGAACATATGCATTGCTATGATCCAACTGTTCCACATGCCTAGGAAATGTGTATGGCTCTGTGCTGAAAATCACATCCAAGAATATTCATAACAATATTTCTATTAGCCAAATGTTTAAACAACCCAAATGTTCATCAGCAGTAGAATGGATAAGTACATTGTAGTATATTATACAATGGAATACCATATAGCTATAGTAATTAAGATAAACAAAAGCTACATGAAAATACAGGAATCGATTTTATACAAATAATAAAGAGCAAGAGTATCCAGACTCAAAAGAATGCCTATTATGTGATTTAATTTATATAAATATCAAAAGGAGGCAAAGCAATCTATCTTCAAAGTCAGAGTAATGGTTATCTTTGGGAAAGACAGGTGGTCGTGGGTGGGAGCATAAAGGGGTCTCTGGAGTAAAGTTAATCCGTTCAGGACCTGGGTGCTCATTACACACCCCTCACAATAACTAATTGTGATAAATCCTCAAGTTACAATGATTTTCACAAATTTCTGTATGTTAATTTAAAAAACAGAGTTTAGGGAAAAAAGTATTAAAGACTACTAAGAGGCATATTTCATTGCATCAAAAGGAAGAGTGATTGAAAATAAATCAACTAAACATTCAATTAAAGAAGCTGGCCAGTTAGAATTAGGGGAAGGAGTAGTAAAGAAATAAAGAATAAAGATGATATGTTTCCTTAACTTAAACTGTGTGACTATGTGGTATTTGCTCTCCACGGCTTGCAGAACTGGTAGCAGCCCTACACGGATCAATCTAGTGTGACAGAACTTTTCTCCATAGAGAAGTACCATTCAAAGATATGAAGAAAGCAAATAGTAAGGTTCCAATCAGGGTTCGAGTTTTTCTAGGCAAGTGTAACTCAGGGAGAGAAGGACAAGAGCGCTGTGGATTGGATGGAGGAGCAAGACACTGAGCATAATGATGGACCATTAAAAGTACCCTGAGTAAAATAGGAAATGAAAACATGAGGGTGGTTAAGGACAGTGAAATAGTATTTGATTCATGAAATTTATTTGATAAATTTCTCCATTTGGTCAAATAATTCTGTAAGAACACTAGGATATGTAAGCTAGAAAAAGAATGGGATGCTCGAAACAGATTTTTTAAACTAGGGGCAGTTTTTACCAGAGTGCTTATTTTGTTAATATCTTGAAATCTTCCCGAGTTTTGATTTTATGCCACTAAACTTCAAACTATTTCCCTCTTCCCACATTTTGCCTTCCAAAATTTCCCTTGCTTCTCAGTTCTTAAATTCCACCCCTTCCTAAGTGGATGATCTTGACCCTTTATCTTCCTTACTGCCCCGACAAAACACCATATCTTCTTTCATCCCCTGTAGATCTCTTTTGTCACTTATCCCTTCTACCTCATACAATGTGAATAGCAAGAGTCACGTTTATTTAGCACTTCATTTTGCCAGGCCTTTTATTAAGCATTTTCTATATAGCATCCCGTTCAAACCTCACAACTAATCTATGAAGTTGGTTCTATCATTATCCCCATTTCACGCAGGAAGAAACCAAGGTATAGAGAAATTTTTGTTTAACTCAATAGCTTGTGTTCTCAATCTTTAGAGTTATGTCTGGACTTGACTTATTATAAAAGTATTTTGAGAGCATGATTTGTCTCTTGTTCATTGTATTCTCCAAAGGATCTTAGTACCTTATATATTGCAGGCACTCAAAAAATAGCTGTGGCTATTTGGCACACACTGCCCTCTCTCTCCTCTTGGTTATACCTCATCTTTCTTCCTGCTTCCCTAGAAGGAGACTCTCCTCTCAAGGGCTAATTTCTCCATTTGAACTTTTAAAATCAACACCACCCATTTGCTCTAGAACTATGTTCAACACCCATTTGCTCTAGAACTATGGTCAATTAAATAATCATTATCATCTTTGTCTTTTTTAACTCATCAGTCATCAATCTCTTTTCTGATTTAAGCTACTGTCCCTTCTACCTTCCTTTCAGTACCAAACATGTCAAACACATAAATGAAAATAGTCTATATTTATGAACCCATTTCCTCCTCTGTCTCCTTCTGGTTCTCCCCCCACCTTTCTACTAAAATTGCCCTCTGCAAATCATCAAATTGCCCCCCAAATGCTGCTCCAGGGGTTACACTTTACCTCTCCACTGGTTCATAGAACACGTTCTCCTTCCTCCTTAAAGTTCTCTGACCTCAGGGCACTGATATTCCCTCTTAACTCTAGTTCTTCTCTTTGTCCTTGGTTCTGTCTTCTCTTCCTACCACATAAATGCAGACCTATCTCAAAGCTCAATTCTCATCCCTCTTAGTTATCTTTCTCCCTTTAAATTTACTGTGTATGTTCATGGCTTTTGTTCATACTGCACGCTCCCCCTTTAAATGTGTTGTTGTCATAACTCTCTAATGCTGACTCTCTCCTAAGCTTCTGCTTTCCTTCATCTCAGGCAGCCCACTCAGCCCATGAAATTCAACCTGTTTGTACAAATTGAACATTTTGCTCCTGAAACTAATCTTCTCCTTTAGATGTCTTTATTTCTACCATTGATAATACCATTATCCTAGTCACCATTGACTACGTTACATTTCCCTCTCCCCAAACATATGGACAATGACTGTCAGAGGATCCAACAGTAGTCTACTGTGAGACTCCCAAGGATACTTGTACACCCCAGAGAGATTTCCTGTGATCTCCTTATCATCCTTATATAAGAAACCAAGGATCCATCTTGCCTTCCTCTCGTACGTAGAGCTGTCACCACTAAAGCTAGACCTTGAGGATCTACAGGTGCTATGATTACCAGTATCATGTGATAGTCTCCCTATCTCACTCTAATTTTTTAATCTTAAAAATTATTCTACAATGATTTTATTTTAAATTCTTTATACTTTTTGGAATATTCATCAAATATTTAATTCTTTCTACTTGAAAACTTGCTCTAAAGAAATACAAAAAGTGAGACAATTTAGAAGGACAGTTAAATATCAGAAACAAATTCTTATTGAATATACAATTAAAATAAGCTTTGAGTTGAGCACTTTGTATTTTTAAAAAATTTTTATTGAATCATGATTATACATATTTTGGGGATTCAATGTTGACATATGTTGATCAAATCAATATTACTAGCACATATATTATTATGAACCATACTTATTTTTATGCCCCTTGTCCAATCTCTCCCTCCCCCCTTCTCCTTCCCCCTCCCCCCTCTAATTACCCTAGATTTCTTCTCTCTCTCTGAAAGAGTAATGGTTACTCTGTTGATTTGTTGCCTAGATGATCTGTCCAATGCTGAGAGGTGTGTTCAGGTCCCCAAACATTATTGTAGAGCAGATGCTTCTTCTGTCACTGTGGAATGGGCTTTGTGGAGAGAGACATCCTCTTCTTTTCTTTGGTCTCTGCTGGTGACTCTCCTTGTGTCAATGCACTCCAGTTGCTGGTGGACCATCTGGGTGGTGGTTGTGTAATCTAGACACTTTCACGGCAGCTGTGGTTATTGTGGTGGCTGTGGTGGGCCACCCACATGGAAGTGATGTTTTTGGCATGCTCCTTCACACTGGCAGTGTGCCTGGTTGTGGGAGGGAGGTCTGGTCCTTGACTCCATACCTCAGATCCCCAGGCGGTCCCAAGGGACTGGCAGTGGGCCTGGGCTGGAACTAATTTTTCATCCTTTGCTTACTTCTAAAATGGGGGAACTCCCTGTGGGGAACAGTACTTGAGCTGTGTGATTTAGCTAAATTGCTACTTTGCTGCTGATTCCCTAGGCAAGGCTTTTTGTGCAGCTCAGGTTTTAATGGTTGATGTTATAGGTTCTTCTGGCTCTCCAGAGACCTGGTGCACCTGAGTTGTGTAGAAACTCTGGTCTGGGCCTGTGTCTTTTCATCAAACTGCACCCCATGCAATTCTATATTCCTGACAAGTCTCCTCTGATGGTCCTGTGCTGATTGGGGTGCCAGTCAGCTGTCCTTGCTGTGCCCCATTGTTCCCCTCGTGGGCCCGTCTCCCGCACTGCCTGTGCTGCAAACACTTCCCACGAGATGGGCCATGCACTGGTCCCTTGTGATGACTCACCGGCCTCTGAGTGACTCCTTGTTTTCAGTTGTCTCTGGCTCCTCACTCCTATATGGGTCCACGGGAACTCTATTAGTGGTCTTGCTGGCCTGGGGGCCACCAAGGCCCTCTTCTCCCCTGCTGCCTAAATGCAATTTCATCCAAAAGGCACAGCTGCAGCTTTTGCCTGCTCCTGCTCTGTGTACTTAGCAGCTCCAGCCTTAAAGCAGCCACAGCACAAAATGGTGGGAGCAGTTCTTTCTTTCTCTCATTGCTTCTCCCGCCTTCACGCACTCCATAGGTCTCTCCTCCTTGTCTCCTGAACTCTAGTGCCCCCAGCTTGGCTGC